TTGATTTATAAGATGACTTTAAACAGGTAAAAATGTCTATGTTATAGGATACGTTGTTTTTTTCGATTACGAACAATATTTAATCAGAAATAACGTTTAGAATTTACGTAACTGGCACGCATAAAGTAGAGCGTCCAAGAATATATAAAATATAATACAATGTCAAATTAGTTATGCATTACAATGTACTATGATATGATTTTTGTTTTATTTATTTTTATTCAAATTCTGTCAGATAATGTTTCATATGGTTCAAAGAAAAGACTTTTGAAAACAAAAGAAGGAAACGTCATTCTATATAATAATTACGACAGGCTTTTAAAAAAATTAAACTAAACATATAGAAGTAGGCGACCTACATGAGTTACAATGTATTAAGCAGCTAGAAAGTCTATTTAAAGACAGAAAGAAATAGGTCAATAGTGACGTAGATCGAAATCTTAAATTCTGTCATTAATATTTGCTTATAATGTCGAACGTCCACTGAATAGATTCTCATTGAACATATAGCTGCGAACAGAATAGGTAGATAAGTTTTTATCGTTCAATTTTTATCAATAAAATATTAACTTCAATAAGCGTAGATCCTTTATATTCTGCAATATTCTAATTCAAATATAATGTAAAAATAATCATTGATGTCAATTGGAACAAATCAATTACATTATCTGTAATTTTCTTATTTTTCAATGGAACTTTAATTAAAAAACTCAAAGTTGCAAAGAACAGTTACATAATCTACTTATTTATTACATTTGTTTTTTTTTGAATCACATTTATGACAAACTGAACAAATCTTTCAATTATAAAATTATTATAGACTATTGAAGAAAAGACAACTATCTCATAATATAATTCTCTTGAGTTCTTCATTAGCAATATTGAATATATATATTTGAGTGCATTCGTAGTCCTATTGACTGATAAAAATGTAATTTAAGGTATCACTATGATCGTATGCACGTGTTTTCTTTCAATTGGAAATAAAGCATTGGCCAAAGATCTGCTTAGTGTTTTTAAACTAAGTATAAAAACTTTTTGTATGAAATACAAGGCATTGATCTCTTGTTCTCAGTTATCATTTTTATGAATAAAAAATTCTATTTCATCTTTACAAATAATTATATTTAATATTTAGACATTTTTTCTACATGACTCTTTATTTTCTTTGATCTTTTCACATGTTACATTATCACTACTTCACGATTTCGAACTTTTTTCTTCTCCATTTTCTCATTGTAGCAATTTTTATCGAACGATTATTGAAACTAAGCATCGCCAGCTGTTTCATATGTTTGCTCACAAAAAGGAAAACCTTCGTTCATAACAGGTGAATATGTTTTCAAATTGAATAACGCAACAATAACTACCAAATATTGGAAATAGACATTGAATGAATGTTCAGCACAAATTCAGACAAATTTGAATGGTCCATTGGTTAAAATGATTGGTGATCATGATCATCCTTCAGCTAAGGAGAAAATTGAAATTATGATAAATTTTGTGAAAAGGTTTTTCTTTGTAATTGTGTATGATCCCTATTACAAAGTATTTTGCCAGACAATAGAATATATATGGTGCTAGTCAGAATTGGTATTGATTTTTTTTATAAACAAGAGAAATCTCCAGCTGTTTAATTGCTTTTGAGAGCTAATGTAGTTAGTCTTGGTATTCATAGCTCATTTGGGTGTGCATAATGCACATAGTCTCAAGTCAACAGCGATTGAATAGTTCGAGGAGTCTTCTAGTAAGACTGAAAAAAGTAAAAGTTCTGGTGTAGTGATCTCATACTCTTACAACACACACAACAAACAAATGAGTGTAGATAGAAACAAGTGATAGTTTCTCAAAAAAAAAAAAAGAAAACAAAAATGTCATTAATCAACTGATCATCATTATAGTTTTCAAGAGTTTCCTTGGGCATGTCTTGCTTGTAAACCTTCAATTGTACGTCCATTTGGATTTCGTTGATGTCTACCCACATGATTCCTTCTACAAGGAAGTAATCGACGATAAATTTTTTTCATTCTTTCCTTGAATAATGTTCGAAAATATTTACTACATAATGTATAAACATAAAATGATTTAGCATAATTCAAATAGAAGAATTGTGTTGTTAATTGAGCAAAAAATCTGTCCAATGCTTCTTGATAAGCTGTTCTCTGTGTACCACTTGTGATTACATTGTATGAATAATAAGACATTCGAGTTAAAATTAATAAAGATGATAGACCAACTTGAAATAGTGTCATCTAGAAGGTTAAATACAAGTACATATATCAGCTAAACAAGATAGAAATTCATTTACTGTAATAAATTGTGTTTCTGTACGTTGTAATCGTCTTTGGTGACTATTGAATGGAAGCACTCGCTGTCTTGTTGAGCGGATATGATATTGTGTACCAAAACCAAACGAGAGCATAAGAAAATGTGGAATAAATGATGTCCATACTATACTATATACTATTGTAAAGACACTATATGCACCTCTTTGTAAACTACACGTAGGTCTCAATTGAGCAAAAATCATATAATGTAGATATGACAAAAAGCAAAGGACTAAAGAAAAAGTAGCTATCCATTTGGCACGTTTCATTGTAGCAAAGGATCGATAGATAAGCTTTGATGAAGTTGACATAAAACGATCCAGTGCTGCTAAGACAATAAAACATGTAGCAATTGCTGGTGCAACATTAGCAATATACATCCGTAATTTGCAAAAAACTTGTGATTGCATTAGTACATCATATTTAAAATGATCATAAAGGAATCTTGTCACTGTTCCAAAATCAAGTGTGATGAGATCAAATATAGCTGCGCCAAGGAAATATAGGGAACATGAGGATTTTCTTAATTGACGAGAAGTAAATGTGATAAAATTACACAAACATCCAATAGTTCCAATAATGATAATAATAATTGGACAATAAAAATTAATTTTATCACCAAGATACACGAGCGAAGAAATATTTGTGTCTGATTCCATTGTTATAAATCTATAAATACAATAATTTTCATGTAAAATCTAACAATAACTATAATCTCAAGTAAAAATAACAATTTTATTACGATGTAAATGGTACGTTTTACCTCTATACAAAAAGCTTATTTGTTGATTATGAATTGTACCGAATAAGTAAATTTATTTAGATGCTATGAACTAGCATTATTTTCATCAAGTGAATGAACGAAGTCTTAGAGAATCAGTTATGAATAGTTCTTTCAATTGCATCCTCACTATAAATTAACCTATGGAACAAATAATAGACCAATATAAAAATAAAAGGCTTCTTTTAGTCATTACACTAGATTATACTAAATTTACTATCTGTTTTCATATTATACATGTCTAGTAATTAACATTCGTATGACATATTTTGTCCTTTATGCTTTTTCTCTTTTTCATTCAGTCTATGTCTCAATTATTTTTCATTACATTTTCAACCTCTGCAAATCTA